GTCTTATAAGAGAAAATCCAAGAAGATACATCCAAAAACAATTGAATCATTCAGCCATCAAAGTGAGATTCATAGATTCTCAGGATCCAATAGTACAAGTTACATTTTGTAAAGAAATTGATGAAGAAGAGATTGACTTTATAGACGTTACTCATTTTGATGGATACAAGTTAAGTATTGCTCTCACACTCGGACAAATACCAATCAAGATAAAAAGTCTAGGAGATAAAATTTGGTATTACAAGAATGATAATTTTGGAGGAGTGATATCAAGTAAACCTCAGCTTCATCCTATGATCGATTATAGAACTAACATTACTAATATGAAAAGTTTCAAAGAGTTTGATTTAAAATTCTTAGATGACAAAGTAGTATTCCATGAGCACATTCTATTAGATTTGAAGACAAATATTGAAGAAGAACTCATTGAAGAAATGAGAGAAAAGTCTGATGTTTCAATTGAAGCTCATGCTAGTAATCAAGATTCTACTTTACCTCATGAAATATTAGACGATGTAGAAGGATTCTTTGGAAAGTGGTGGCTTAGAATTTGGAGAGTTGGTGTTACTTTGCCAGCAATGTTCGTATACCTATTTATAGCTAGATCATTTTGGATGATACTTTCTCCAAAAACTTTTATTGATAGAAAAAATAGAAAAAGGAAAAGGGAGTATGAGGCTGTAGAACTAAGAGAAATGCCGTCTATTCAATCTCTTACTGTTGATTAATTTTTAACTAAATAAATGAGATTCTTTAATGCTGGAAATGCTTCTAGTTATTTAATTATGGGTTCAGAAGAAAAACCTAAAGTAGAACTTGTAGAAAATTGTAGAAAGCCTGATATGAACCTATAGATAGTCTTAATAAGTCAATTAGAGAGTTGGTATTTGATGGTATGAAAGAAATAGAACTTCCTGATGTTGAAGATGTAGTTGGGGTCTTAGCTACAAAATATTTAGACTTTATGAACGCCCATTTATCACTGGAATCTGCATTATATCTTTTGGATTCTTTATCAAAACCTTGGTACAGAGCATTGGAGCATAATAATATTTTTTGGTAATTTGAAGAATCTTCAGTTGTAACCTTGTTTAGATCAGGAGACTTTTTGAGTAGTAATTCCATCAGACCCTCAGTTGCTGTGTATTCTTCATTATTAACTTTGATAATATTCTGATCGAATGTAATGTCTTTGTTACCAATAGCATACTTCTTTTCTGCTTTGTTGAACTTGATTGAGTATCCAGCATTACTTCTATCTGAATTATCTTGAAGATAACTTACAATTAGATTACTTACAACTTGAGGTGGAGAAGAACTAGGTAGAGAGGGAGGTAGGATTACTGAGGGTTGCTTAATGAGACTTTTACGATTTGTCTTTGGTGTCG